ATAACAAATTGAGAAAGTCATAGGCAAAATTTTGAAAAAATAACGAGGATTAACAATGTGTTTACAAGAAGTAGTTTCTTAAACCTCCAAGCTAATTCATGCCATGTCAGTGTAGCTACCCTGAATATCTTCTAAAATAATATGTTGATAAAATACAACAGCGCAAAGACCCCAAAACATGAATATAGTTGTTTTTTGATAAATAAGTGATACAAAATTACTAGGAAATTTAGAATTAATAAGAGGTGCAACAAAATTAGAGAAACAAGCAAATGAGTATCGCTATTACAATTATTTCAATCAGGCTCAAGACTACTTGACAAAGTATAAAGAGTAAAGACAAAAATGGAAACAAACAATTCTTGGTAGATGTCTTTTGATAGAATAATTGCCTGCATCTTAAAAAACATAGAAGAGATATATTTGAATGGAAGTGTCAAAACTCTCAATGAGAAAAGATCTACATACATACCATGCTGGAGTGCGCCTCCCAGCCCTTGAATCCTCTCCATAGTAAGTATCTGAATTTGTCTGGTATTTGTAAGTTGGGGCAAAGTTCAAAGTACCTTCAGACCATCCATCAAATGCCTGCCCTTTCCTAAGCTCTCTGATGAGCTGCCAAAATAGAAAGGTGTCAACGTCGATTAAAAAATACAAAAAAGATGATATGAGATTTTTTTCTTTATGCAAATCCTAATTAAATCAAAATATAAGCCAAAAGTACATTTTGGTTAGACACCTTTTATCTTATTTGTGTGTTGCTCTGATTTTGTTGTATTCCTCTCAAAAATATTTATGTGTGTATGGATGCATGAAAAAAAAAGAAAAAGAAAAAAAGAAAAATAAAAAAGGCCAAAGGATTTAAAATTTGACATTTCAATCTACCTTAGGATGGAAATAAATAAAATAATCACCTGATCATGCTCAACTAACTTAGCCCAGTCTTTTTTGGAAATTAGCTCTCTTGTTTTCTCGTATGATAGATTGAGACGATAATTTAAGTCCCCTAGCCAGATTATCCTCCTGCAACCAGATAAGGAAGTTACAGGAAATAAGGTAATGAAATGGAGGTTTATTCACTTAAAAGTGATTTCAAGATGATCTATAAATACGAACAAATTTATATCTACTACCATAGAGTATAATACAGTTCAACAAATTTGGGTGAAAATAGAGGGAAGGAATCTAATAATTTAATAAAATCCCATATGCAAAAATGAAGATTCCATTTTTGCGGTAAGCTGGAACAGGCATAGAACATGGGCTTTCTTTCAAAAACGAACATTTCAATACATTGATGGGGCAAACAACCTTTGTCGATTTTTTAGAATTTGAAGTCGAACAACATTCTAAAAGATTCCCAAAATCTTGACCCAACTAAAGCATGGCATCAGAGAACCAACAACCATGTAATAGTCAATAATCACCAATGAAGTTTAACTCTTATAATTTTATTTGACAAATTCATTCGTGACAGGTTGTTTATAAAGCTCATCTCTTGTCCCTCCATTACTTGCAGCCTCTAGTATATAGCAGCTAACAACTTAGGTCCCCGACCTCACTAATATTTGCAAAGACAAATGTCTAAGTTTCTCCTCAAGTGCCACATCTAAATGGGTAGAACTCCATATACTTACTCATGGTCACAGATGTTTTTAGGAAGTCCAATACTAGATAGCGAATTAAAACGTGTCCGTCTATGTATTTCTTGGACATCAGCGATTCTTTTGGCTGCATCGGCATCCTTCTCACCTGACGTGAGATGAGAGCAAATGAAACAAAAGAGAGTCTGATATATAGACATGCTAATAGATATTGATCCCTGAAAGCAGAAATGACAGTTATGATATTTAATAAGTGCAATAGCATTAATCCATTGCTTGATGCAATGAGAGCTTAAAGTGTGAAAGGACTTCCTAAAGCAGATCATAAAACTATCTGATCTAGAAAAAAGAACATCAAAATAAGACCTGGACTACTGGGATTAGCTTTAGGGCATCCACCTTTAGGATATTCTTAGAAGTAAACAGTATTAGCAAAACACATTAAAAAAATAACACTCAAGAATATTGGTGTAGAGAGATCGGTCTCATTTTACACCAAAAATAGAAGCAAACAAAGCTACTTTTGGTCTCTGATGTTATCTCGTCAAAACATACTATAGAAACAGCTTCACTAAGCTAAATTGTGGTTCTAAAGAGAAAGTTTACGTCATCCACAGTTAAGGAAACAAATAAGAAGACCTTTATTAGTTTTACAACTCACAAAGTAGAAATTATGTTGATCAGTCATTAGATATGTGTTCAATTCATAACTAGGAACCAAGGATCTAATTTACTAATACGACAACTTTATATACTGGAAGCATTAAAGGTTTCAGGGAAATTTGTTCAAGGCCTAT